AAACTATATAGAATGCCTTATTATCAAGAAAGTTTCAAGAGATACTCTATCCCTAAATTATGTAATATCATTAATCAGTACCTTGAACTGCAGGATTCCAGGATGCACTGCGAAGTTTTTCAAGTAATTCTTCTGCCTTTTCAACAGTTGCCATCTTGGTAGCCATACTTACCTGATAATATTCATTTGTTAGGAATGTCCAGATAGATAATGTGTGTGTTTGTGTGGGCGTGTGCGTGTGCGTGTGCGTGTGCGTGTATGTGCACTTCCAAATAAAGTTCAATTGTTATTACTTGAACAAGAATCATATATATATATATATGTATCCACAAGTGAGTGCGTGTGTTAATTATTTATCTCTTTCTTCTTCTCATTTCAACTCGAGTAACTTTTTCATTTCGGTTACTTTAGACGCATCATAAAAGTAATAATTTTCTTACGACATTCAATTGGACAGCCATATTTTGCATATATAAGATTTAAAAGATTAAAAAAAATATCTTCTTAATGTTATAGGGGGACAAACGGGGAGAGATGTTTAAATACGTAAGATGTTGAATTGAACCGATTATAAACAGTAGAACACCTTTATAATGTTGATGTTATCACTTTAGCTACAAGCTCGTGATTAGAAAGTATACATGTTGAATAAGAAATTTATTAAAAAAAAAAAAATCTTTTCAAGTTTAACTTCAGCATTCTGAAACGGCTGAAATAGCAATATTTGTAGTCAGTACAAACATTTCGACATAACTCATTGATGCAAGGTTTAAAATCCAGTTTGAAAAATAAAATCATACCTCTGCGTAGTTATTATAGCCAAGAAGCTTAGCCTTTTCCAACCTAAGCTTCAAAATTTGGTCAATGATTGCAGTATTGTCAAGATCACCACTAGAAGCACGGCTTATATAGGCACGATAGACTTCCTCTCGTAAAGTTCTATTTTTAGCATGCTGCATCACAGCCATAAAACTTGGGGCATCCAATGTTATTACCCAAGGTCCTGTCTGTGCAGTAGCATTTTCATGTCCCTGTTATACAAGGCAGAAAAGCAGAAGTGATGTGAGACTCAATTTCCATATAGCAAACTCAAATGAAGCTAAAACAACAAAAACACCATCTGCTTAAATACCTTCGACACTGCTGTTTGAGCAGCCAACCCAAGAGCTGTATCTGGCAAACCTTCAATGTCTTTTTTGTCGGTTATTAATTTTTCAAATTTCTTTGTTGAATCTAAAACGTTCTCCTCAAACTTTCGAGATAGTTTGGTCAATTCCTGTACTCAAATATAAACACACGCAAGTCATTAGAACAAAATAAAACACCACCAGAAAAATTTTCATAGACAGAGAGCTAGAAGATTAGGCATGGCTAGAATACTTTAATAAATTATATCAACAAATGAATCCAGTAAATTAGTCCATAGGCGAGCCACCAGCAATATTGTCGCTGTTTTGCAGTTTATTGTACGCCAACATTTTGGTAAATACCTGTTCAATGTTGTTGAACTCCTCTCTTTTATCATCTTCAAGCGCAATACCATTCAAAACAGCCTCCTTTATTTGTGCTGCAAGAGTTAGTTTGGCAAGTAAGACCATAAGACATTGCATTTGCCGATGTAGTTGCCGACAACAGCTTCTTATGAGCCTGAATGGCATCTACACAGCTTTTGTTAAATGAACTATTCGACCTCAGAGCGATGAGAAAAAGCCGAATGAACTCAGAAACTATAAGCATCACATCCGACGCAAGTAAATACCTTCAACTATACGTTTACAAGCATCACTCAGCTTGTCCCAGTCTGAAGATTCTCTGATACTCTTGAAGGCGTTATAAATTGGCTTACTCTGACCTAGCTTAAGCTCAAATGTCACTTTCTCCGGCTACAAAAACCAAAACAGAAGAAGTCAACTGCAAATTCACATCACTACCAAAAACTAAAAGCATTGTATTTAAATTGGGCAGTCCCCATAACTTATCAATTCACATATAAATCCATCTCTACCTTGCATTTTAATTGGACAGTCCCCATAACTTATCAATTCAAATATAAATCCATCTCTACCTGGACTTCTTCAATTGCTGCACGTAGGTCGGCGTTATCCTTGACAGACTTGAGATGCGAAACAGCACCCCAGACCACAGCCAGCCGGTCCACAATCCTCTCAAGCGGCTCCACCAGCTTTGGCCACGATGGCTCCACCGTCCTCTCCAGTTCCTCTAAATCATTTCCCTGCAATTCATCCATTTCAGCCACCGGATCCAAACCACTCGGAATCTAAACAACAAAATCAAATAACAAACACACCAATTTCTCAAGCAAGGCGCGGATGCCGGGACGGACGTGCTTGGCCTCGATTGAATCGAACGGCGGGAAGTAGAAGTCCTTCAGCAGAGGATTGCTCTCGACGTCTGTCATGTTCGCCGCCGCGGATGAAGCTGAAACGCAGAAATATCGGGCGGACGGAGTTGATCTGAGGGTGACCCTACACTGCTTGCCTCTGACTGGCTCGGAAAAAGGGCGGCGAGCGCGGGCGTGAAGAAGGCAGACGGAGAAAGAAGCAGACCAGAGGGGACAAGGTCGGGACTTGAGAGAAGTGTTGGGGCGAGTAAGGGAATGGGGTCGGAGGAAATAGGGCTTAATGAAGCAGAGTCCTGATTGGGATTGGATCGAGCGAGCGAGGGAGGAGGTCGCCATGAGGAGGAGTAATATTATCAAGTCTGGA